AAATTCGTCTTGAAAAGCACTACCATATAGAACACAAAGGGCAAAAATAGACCCAGCATGCTGGCGTGCTCCTGTAATCCCAGCACTTGGAAGGCTGAGGCAGGAGAATCGCTGCAAGTTTGAGGCCCACTTGGGCTATATAGTGAGTTCAAGTCCAGCCTGAACTACACAGCAAGACTGTCAAAAAAGGTATATATAATATAAAAAGGGCAAAAAATGTTCACGATACGGTTGGCTGGAAATACATCTGCCCATTCTAGTGGATGCTGTCCTTTAATGGAGCCACTTCACACTGTAGATGCCCACATACGTGCCCACTGCTGTCACTGAGTGGGCAGAAGAGCTCACCAATTCATGATGGATGAAATTGCTATGGCCCAAAACATCCTCCCAGATACTTTTTGGAACTTTGAACAATGTCTGAGGAAATGGAGGTTAGATGGTTGTTTTTCTTTACCTTAAGGTGAAGCTATCTGGTCACTGATATTTCCCATATAATACACACTAGAGTGGGCAAGAGGACAGTATTGGAAGGGCTTGAGTAATTTTGTGCCATAGGGACAACTTGAAAACCTTTATAGTACAGTTTATGCATGTGGAGATAGACTAGAAGGTTTAAATCCTGGCTCTGCCACTTTTTAGCTGACTTTGGGTGAGTTATGTACTTAGTTCTGTTTTAGTTCTTGTATCTGTAATACAGAGGTGGTAATAGCACCTACCTTGTAGGGTTGTTAAGATTTACAGACTTACACATCTAAGTGCTTAGAACAGTGGACAGATAGTAAACAATAGGTAGAAATAGATAGCTGGAGGTCAATATACAGCATAGTGCCTGGCCCATGGTAGGGATCTAAATGTCCATTTTGTAACTTTTGGTGGTTTTATCTTATTTATTTATTTGTTTGTTTATTTATTTATTTATTTATTTAATTTTTAGTGTTGGATTTTGAACCTAGGGCTTCAACCCTGCTAAGCATGCACCCCCTCATTGAACCACCCACCCACCCCCACTTTTGGTAATTTTACCTTTTAAAAATTATTGAGTACGCATTACATGTGAGACACTTTCTATACATTTCATTAATCATGAAGATAACCTAGGTAAGAGAGGCATCTTTCTTCCAGTTTTGCAGATAAAAGAGCTGGGACTCAGAGAACTTAAAACAAAGACCCAAGTTCATGTAGTTAGAATTCTGACTTGTCTTTTAGAATCCAGAGCTCAAACCTTTTCCCAGGATGAAGATGTCAACATTTCTAAAATAGGGCTTAAAGACCTTGGAAGGGAACCCATAGATACATTCTCGGGACCCAGGAGTCCTACTTACAAGTTTTGATACATCATTTTGATGCTAATCTTTAGGTAGACATCTTCTGGATACTCTGCAGAGCCATTTTAGGAGAACACCTAGGGGAGTTTGAGTTTTTTTGTGTTTATGCTAGCACAGTTAGCAAATCTGATACTATCTTAATTGGTCCTGAGCTGACTGGAAAAGAACAGAGTGAACTTCATAATACATTCATGCTAAAGGAAAGTAAAATTGTGTCATCAGATTTAAATAGAAAAAGGTGGGGAGCAAGCACTTTTCATTTTGTACCTGGTAGTATATGCATTAGACTCAAACCCTGAACCTCAAACATCGTGCTATATTTGTTTAGAAAAGTGATTTTTTTTCACACACACCTTAACTGTTGCATTAAATTAATGTTACTACTATGTTGAAATCTTGGTTTTGTAGTTTTGTTTTTATTTAAATTTGGTTTTTTAATTACAGAAACGTTTTATAATTGTACAAGGGATTTATACCTGGCTTTATGCTTATGCATCAAATAACACAGTTAATTTAAAACAGCATTAAGAGTAAAGAGTATTTCCCTTAAAAGGGGCCCATACCATATTCACACTCTTTCTCTACACACAGAAAAGGACAATTACACAAAAACAAAAACAGACAATAAAACCTCATGGCTATATTATAGACACGACTGGCTTTTGAACTAAACTCTGAAGGCGCTTAATTCACAATGATAGAGGATGTAGGAAATCGCACATGTTAGTGTTTTCACTATGTGATGCATCAGGAGAGAAACTAAAGGAAGGCAGATTCCTGGGACAATTGTGTGAGACCTTTCCAGGACCACTGCTGATGAAATGGAGAGTACCCACGATGCAGAGCAACTTTCAAGCAGAAATGTTTATACTTGGTAACCCTTGAGTGTCCTATAAAATTTGCAAAAGATAAGGCTTCCTTTTAGAATATAAGTAGCAAGCCTCTAACAAGTGTTCTGTGTTTTAGGGGCCATACTAAAGACTGAAAAGAAAGTAGGTTGTCAGTAGGAAGGCAGTCTGGGGATCAATGAAACAAAATCTCTCAACTTCTTTCTGTTGGAACAAATAGAGCCTTAATGTACTATCCAAACAGCCAAGCCTACAAAGTCCTAGGTTGTGCATTTAAGAAAATGGGCTCGGAGCCACTGAAGTTGAGTGATAGACATATTTATGGACAGAATACTGAGTTCTTAGAGCCAACAGCCGCATCACAGATGTGCCCTACCTGTGGGTAGAATACAAGGCTGTTAATTAGAAATAAAGTCAACTACTTCCTGATTAGCACAGAACACCTTGGGATAACACATCAAGTAGCCAACTAAGATACCATTAAGATAGTAAAACAGCTTTCTGCCTGAAAAAACAAAATGTGTTCCCCCAAGTCTCCTACTGGCACAGGTCCCTTATCCCCTCCTCCAGCTTGCAATTAATGCCAAGGCCACCTGTCTCCCTTCCTGTACTGCTGAGTGTTCCCTGCCTCCTTCCCTCCCTCTCTACCTGGTCTTCCTCTCCCTCCCTAGAGCTTGAATTACTCAGTGCTAGCCACAGGCCACCTGCCACACATACACTGAATGGAAGTTTGCTAAGAGGAGTATTAGCACTGCCACTCACAGTTCTCCAACTATCCTCAGACCCATTTTCAGGTATTTTAACTCAACATTATTTATTTTTAAATGGCAGGAGGTTGGGGCTTCTCAGAAATGATTATCCTGTGTCCTAAACTTATTAATAAAAGCCCCAAGACTGATCCAAAGAGCTACTGCTGGGTCTGTCAGCTCCCTTTATTATCACCAATTGTGTCTTTCAAACCCTTCTGCATTTTGCTGTCCCATCCTCTCTACCTTGGTTCCTTATGAGGTTTGGTTCAGGGTAAGGCAGATCCTTCCTTGTTGCTTCTGCCCCTGACCCCATCTGTCTTTCCCTTTCTTCCTTTTCTGCAAGAGTCTTACTGTAAGGACAGCTGGAAACAGATCAGGAACTTCAGTCAGAGATACACATTTATTTCAAAGCTTCGCATGAAAAATATTAAATAGGTGGAGTGGCCAAAACTAGGAGATAAGCCTGAGTGATGGTAAATGTTTTAGAGACTGAGTGCCCAAACTGCAACCCCAAACCCACTTACTTATCACAGAGTGCCAGCACTGCAATTAAACCTGAATACTGAGGTTTTAGTTGGAAAAAAAACCTCATATATTAACATGTTTTGTCTTAAAAGAAAAACAATAAATGTGTCCCATAGGTTCACCACCACTGGATTAGATCTTTAAGAAACAGTGAGGAAAGTCCCCAAATTTCAGTGGTAAATGTCTATGAAGAATGTTACAGAAATGCAAAGATGACAAGCTTTTGTTTTTATCATGATAAAATAGAAATTGAGGCAAGATTATCCATCTTTCCATGTTTAGTAATTGCACTAATTGAGGATCCTAAGCAAATTACCTACTATAGGAACCAGGCAGCTAATGTGAAACAGGGAACTGCAGAGGACAGGGACAAAGCTTAGTCTACTTCTGCTGGTTCTTGCTGAGGTTTGTTGAACTGTTGTTGCCAGATCTGTTTTGTTTTGTTTGCACTGCAGAGGATGGATCCCAGAGCCTCACTGATGCTAAACAAGCATTATGCTACTGAGCCATATCCCAAATCCCTAGATCTGATTTTTTAAGAGAAGCTCTAAATTCAGCTTGTGTATGTGTATATATGGGGATGTACCTGTGAAGTCTGGTTGTTTTTTTTTGTTGTTGTTGTTGTTTTTTGTCTGTTTGTCTTTTGAGACAAACTCTGTAATTCAGGCTGGCCTTGAACTCACGATGTAGCCTAGGTTGATCTCAAATGCACAGTGATCCTCCTGCCTCAGCCGCCCAAGGGCTGGGATTATAGGTGTGCGCCAACACACCCAGCTGAAATCTGAATTTTAAAATGTTGGCTCAACTTTTTGAAAGGTAGACCAAACACAGTATATAGCCCACTTCTGCTCCGGACTCTGTTTGGAGAATATGTTCAGGATAAAGCTTAAGAAAAGAAGACTGGAAAAGAAGCACCAGGCAAGTATTAAGTTCTTCTATATTTAGAGTTTCTTAAATACGGTAGTGATGTTACATAGGTTCCCTCTAATCTGAAGGCAGTTACAATCTTTACTTGTGGACCAGCAACTCGTAAGTTAACTTCTCTTTGATAATAATTTGCATGGTTCTCTCGCTTTCAACTTGCTTCTCTTTCTTAAATTCAGACTGAAGTTTCAGTTTTGAGTTATCTATAAGGCTGACAGCCCAAGAAACCTGCAGCTTACCTAACCCCAACAGCATGGGTCCAGTGTGTCTGTCTTTTCCTCCAGGACTGTGCACACCTGTGTTCAGGCAGTTTAGCAGGTAGACAGGGTATTTACTCCAACCTTTTGGTGGGAATATTCTAAACTACGGTAGTCAGAAAACAAAACAGTTCAAGGTTGCACCTACATGGAAGCCCTTCATCCACCAGGTGCTGTGTTACTAATATTCCAGTTAAAATGAGGTTCCTTCCTGAAACTTCTCAGAAATCTAGAATTTAAACCTAGGCCACTCTCTTGCAGATGTCCCTGCTGAAATTAGAGATTCCTGCTCACCTTGCTTCTTCCAACCCTGATTTGGGAGGCACCCCCTTCCCACTGTAAGCTAAAGGACCCGGGGCCCCGTCTTACCTTCCGAAGTTCGAAGAGTCACACAGGCAGCCAAGACCACGAGAGTGAGTCTCATCTGCTGCATTCCTGCCTGTGTCACTGGCTGTGACAGCACTCCAGGTGAGGCTGGGAGATCAGGAAATAAAACTATGAATGCTGTTGGGTGCAGAGAAAGAGCCAGAAGTAAACCAGGTAGCCCCACCCTGGGAAGAGTTCACAGTGTTAATTTGTCCCATTTATTTCCTTAAGACCAGTTTCCTGACTGACCTGTCAGGCTCCTAACTGGATGTGTGTTTACATTGCCTGTTTACATTATCCAGAGGGACATCAGAAGCTACCTGTAGTTGACAAGGTCCTTGTGATTGGATGTGTGCACCAGAATTATTTGAACTATTAAAATAAAGCAATCTACATGAACACTCCCCCCCACACACGCGCGTGCGCACATACCTATCAATCAGCATTGTGGCATAGGGGACCAGTCATCTGAACTTTATAAAATCTCCATAGGTGATTCATACGGACACTTCTTTTGAGAACTGTTGTCTAGAAGGAATCAGTTTTCAGTGGTTTGAAACTGTGAGTTTCTGGGACAAGGGTGAGAAGTCATAAAAAATTATCTCTGTGGAAATACAACGAAAAATTCCATCTTGCTTGTCTTGGTTTGCAGCCAGATTTCCAGTGAAGCATTTACCTTATTTAAAAGAAAGGTGAGGGGGCTGGGGATTTAGCTCAGCGGCACAGCACCTGGCAAACGCAAGGTCATGAGTTCAATTCCTGGTACCGGAAAAAAAACAAAAAAAATAAAAGAAAGGTGAGATAAGTAGAGGGCAGTGCCTTATAGAAAAGAGCCCCAGCGCAGCCATGAGGAGCAGGGTTCTAGGCCACCTTTGCTGCTAATGAGCTTAATGAGTGAAAATCAGGAAGGGGAAAATCACTGGATTCTAATACTGCCTCTTCCACTAATTGGTTGTATAGCCTCAGAAAATGTATTTCATTTTCTGTAAGTAGGTCAGGCTGGATGACTTCCAAAGTCATGCTGTGCTTCTTCTAGAACTATACCATCCCACGTAGTAGCCAGTAGCCACCTGTAGTGTGGCTAGTCCAAACTTAGATGTACCCGAGGTGTAAAATACATACCAGATTTCAAAGACTGAGTATAAAAAATAAAATATCTCATTAATAATTTTTATACTGAGTTCATGTTGAAATGATCATATTTTAGATATATTGGGTTAAATAAAATATTAAAATAATTTCACTTGTTTGCTTTCACATTTTATTTTTTTATTTATTTTTTGGTATTAAGAATCAAACTCAGAACCTTGTGCTTGCCCGGCAGGCGCTTATGCCACTGAACTATATCCCCAGCCTCGCTTTCACATTTTAAATGCTGCAATGGTTCTAACAGTTTTGTCCCTTCCAAAACTCATGTTGGTTTTTTTGTTTTTGTTTTGCTTCCAGTACCAGGAATCAAACTCATGACCTTGTGCTTGCCAGGCAGACGCTGTGCTGCTGAGCTAAATCCCCAGCCCCCAAAACTCATGTTGGAGCTTAATCCTCAATGCCCAATGTTGGCAGGTGGGAATTAATGTGAGGTGTGCCCTCATAGATAGAAAAATACCCCCAACAACAGGGCCTTCAGGAGTACATTGAGTCCTCTGCTCTTTGGCTGTTTGAGGACACAACAGTCCTTCTCCTGAAAAGATGCTGCAAGGAGGCACCATCTTGGAACCAGAGACTGAATTTTTCTTCTCCTTTCTCCCATCCCTCACTGCTTTAGAATATCAAGAGTCCAGGATACAAATTGTTCTCAAGTATCAAATTAAGGTATTTAACCAAGATCCAATCGCCCCTTTAAACACTATAGGGTTATAATGAAATGGAGAATAAGAGCTTTGGAGGACTGCGAGCTACTGAAGATGGTGACCCTGGAATGAGAACTCAGTCCCCCAGAGCAGCAGTTTCAGCCTCTACCACTAAGCAAGGGCACCCTGTCACAAGTCTTCATAAGCTAGCAGAGAGAGCCCTCAAAGGTTACTGTCAAGGTCTCAGAGTTACGTGCACTTGTCACAACCACAGCAGCACTTCTCTGGACTAAAGCAGTGTACTCTGCAGGGAAGAGTCAGGAGGATGCACAAAATGATAGTCTGAAATAGCTGTGAAGATCTGCAAAAACAACACTTTCACTAAACACTCACTAACCTACCTGGCACCTGAAATTCCCACCCTGAATACCTCCGGAGGCTGGCTTCCCTGCAGTTAAAACAAAACAAAACAAAAAAAAACCTCTGTTTAGAAGGATTTCAAGTAGAGAGCTAGCCTGAGATAAGACCCTGTCTCAAAAAGTAAAAAGGGCTGAGCATGTAACTCAATGAACTAAATCCCCAGTACTGTGAAAAATAGCTAAAGAACAACAAACAAAAGCTTGTTCAGATGAAATGAAAGATGACTGAGTAACAGAAGTAATTCTTATAACAGGACAAACTATGCAGGCTTAATAGGGCACTGACAAGGAAGCTGGGCTTGGTTTTGCTGAGCCTGGGATTAGACTATATTCAGTTGTGTACCTCTCATTTGTTAAGATTTCTTCTCCTCATGTGTGTATGTTCCTTCTGCTAGCAAATGCCACCAAGGCCCGGCCAAGAGAAAGGCACAGGGACAGAACCTAGAGATTTGTATAGCACAGGGGCCTTGAGTTATTAGCATTTTCTCTTTTCTCACACCCTTTCCTGAGGGTATTGGAATAAGACGGTGGGTTAGTAGAGGTTACGGGAAGAGAGATGGTATAGCAGGTAGACCAAAGAACATTAAAGTACTCATGAAATTCCCATCAGTGGAATCACAGCCTTAAGGCAGGATGTTGTCACCCTGGTGTTGAGAAACAAACCTGATGTCTATCAGTGGGAACCTATAAACCATTAATAACCCCTCTGCCATGTTGTTTGAACCAAAACATGAATGGCAGTAATATTGGGTAGGTCAGTTTTGATGGAAGTGACAGAAAAACTGAATCATGGAATTTTTGCAGGGAGGAGTTATCAGGAATCAAACTCAGGCTCTCATGCTTGCCAGGCAGGCATTGAGCCACTGAGCTAAATCCCTGGCCCCTGAATCATGAAATGTTTGTCTGGAAAGAATATAATCCCAGCTATGATTATGTGTGTGTGTCTGTGTATAAGGAGCTCATTGAGCAGGCATGGATTAGCGTTGACTAGGTAGGAGCCTCCAAAAGGTGGTGTATATTCGGCAACTTTGTATTACTACAGCATGCGTAGCTTTATGCATGCGTAGCAGGGCTTTTAGAAGAGGGTTGGGTCATGGAGGCACCATACTCACTGTGAATTGGTCTACTGGTGGGTTTATAGCTGAAAGTGCAGTTAGGAAGTGGGGCCAGGTCTGAAGAAGCCCGTTACTGGAGGTGTGAGCTGGAAGGGGGATTCCTCCCCTCAGGCTCCTCCTCCTGTTTTTGTTTCCCAGCCACTAAGACATGAGCAGCTTCCTCTGAAGCAGCCCCTTCCACCATATCACTCTGCCATGGAGCCAGCCAGCCATGGACTGAAACTTCTAAAATCCATTAATCCAAATAAACTTCTCCTCCTTTAAGTTGTGCGGCTAGCATCTTGTCCCAGCAATGCAAAAGTGACTAAGACAGACTTATAAAGATGTATAAAGAGAAAAAAATTATTTAGCTCACAGTTCTAGAAGTTCAAGGGCATGGCGTTAGCCTCTCAGGTCTCAACTGTATCATGTCATGGCGGAGGTGCCCCATGTGTGTATGTGTGTGTGTGTGTGTGTGTGTGTGTGTGTAAGAAGCTTATAACACCAAACAGGAAATTAGAGGGAGAGGCTGGGATCCCATAATCCCTGTTGAGGTCACAACTTCAATAACCAAGGACTTCCAACCAGGATCTACTGTACCTCTCAAAAGTTCCACTGGGCTAGGTGTGGTGGCACACACCTGTAATCCCAGCACTCAGGAGGGTGAGGCAGGAGGATCCTTGTGAGCTCAAGGCCAGCCTGGATTGCATAGTGAGACCCTGTCTCAAAAAGATAAACAAACAAACAAAAATAAATTAATTAATAAATATTGTTTTAAAGTCCCACCACTTTCTAACAGTGTCACCCTAGAGATCAAGACTTTAGTCACTGTGGATTCTCAGGGCACACTCAGAGCATACCCAAACTACAGCAGGTGGATTCAGAAGAACTTCAACTACTTAAATATTTTTAACTGAATGTTTTGCTTCTACAAAATCCAGTAAGAATAAGATTGGGAAATATGTGTCTTTAGGACCTAGGGCATAGATGGAGGACAGAGACCTACAGTGACAGCTTAAGGACAACCTAAAACTGTGTGGATTTGTGTTTTCCATTGTGAAACAGCCCTGGCTAAGAATAGCTGGATAAAATCTTTTAGGATTTTTTTTCCTTGTCAGGAAAAACCAGTTTAAAGAACCAGTTTACAGAGAAGTTAAGTGACATGTGTGAGGCTGGAGGATATTATGTATTGTGAAATAAGTCAGGCACATAAAGACAAATACCATAAGTTAGTTATATGTGGAAACTAAAAAGTTAATCTCATAGAAACAGAAGAGATTACTAGTTAGAGAGCCTGGTAAGGGTAGAATGGAGAGAGTTTGGTTAGTAGGTACAAAGGCACAGCTGATATGCCTACCCAAGATGAAAATGTCTGGTGTCTATCGAGGGCCTTTAGATAGACCCTCTGGAGAGTATCTTTGACTGCTGATCAACAACTACGACCCCTTTCAGCCTGAAGAAGCCAGAGTGGTCATCGCCCGTTACTCCCTCATGGCAGTTCAGGTTACTTCTTCAGAAGGGGAAATGTCATAGGCAGCTGAGTTACACAGAAATATTACAGGCAGTCAGATAGGGCCTGGCCCTTGAAGGAGCCAACATGAAAGACAAGATAAAATACATATCTGCTGTGGGCCAGACCTCAAGACAAAAGATTAAACAAATGCACCTATGTACCTCCCTAGGGATGGACATCAGGGATTAATATTCTAAATAGGAAACCATCACAAGAATCTCTGACCCAACCCCCTACAGGAAAAGCCCCTGTTCTGTATTTATGCCTGCTTGCTACATGACTCACTTTCCTATTTGATCCCAATTTAATCAATTTTACCTGAACAATTCTTATTGGCTGACCATAGTTTTGTCCATTTTTGCCCTACCTTGGACCTGCCTCACCTCGGGGCTTTGCTCTATGAAAGTCATTAGAGAAGACAG